TTTTGGAAGGACGGAGGCATATTGAGGAAATGGATTAAGTTTGCTAAGCGCAACCATCGAATGTAGCGTTCCCGGTCATTTACGGGGAAGTGGAAAAAATGCATGCTGGGATGTTGAGATGTCCCAACACTGCAATCACGAAACGAACAGCGACAACCTCCCATAATTGTTGAATCTGTTTTTGAATAAGTAACTCCTTTATTTTCTATTAGGCAGTCTGCACACGGGTCGTATGGCTTTAGACGCGTATAAAATTTTTTATGCAGCAACGATTCCTCAGTCCTTTTTATTAATTTACTATTTTTGTTTCTTCTAGCCTGTGCTAGTTGATGTGAAACGCTAAAAAATATAAGCATATCGATTAAAAGTTGACTTTATATCGATTAAACTTTACACATTCCAATTTCGTTTCGTAAGACGGCTTTTACACCGTTCAAGTACTGAGTCAATTCTGCTTACATATAAAAGAGAGGGTTTTGGGAAGAAATGGGAAGACTACACATGCGTTTGTAGCGCCAAATCGTTTTAATGGGTCTGCCAGATAGAAAATCCTTTTTACCAGGCGGGGATGCATTTGATTGACAAGACTTACAGAACATGGTTAGACGCAGCAATGAAAACTTTGCTGTAAACAAAGGCCCGTAGTCATAGTCAATATAAAGTCGACTTTAAAGTTAGTTGCAGCTTTTTTGACAGATATCCCATTGAAAATTATGTCAAAAAGCTGCAACTAACTTTAAAGTCGACTCTATTTTGACTATGACTACGGGCCAAAGTGAGGAGAATGCGGTAAAGAACGGTGTTTTGAATTCTGACGAAAACAGCCTACATAAAGAGGCTGTATGTAAGCGGAGTCCGGCTGTTCGAAGTTTCCAAAAATCCTTACTCAAGGAAAGGAAACCAAGCGTGTGTCGGCAAAAAGTAAAAAAAAAAACTATAGCGAATAGAGGAGGACGGAAATCTGCGGAAGCAAGGACCCTTCTCAAGCGGAAGAAAGTCTACCCGCGTTGAAGCAGCGCACTATTGGCCGGCTACGGAAGTACTATAGGAGTGTAGCGCCCACGGGCTAGAGGCAGTGGAACAGGCAACAAGTCCCCGGCGAGCTGTAAGTAGCAAACGATAGAAAATCTACTTAGGTATTTATTGTTCCGTCCGTGCGTGGATGCAGATGCACAACTCGCTCGATACACAAATGTTATGCTTTTTGCGACTGGTCGGTTTCACACTGGAAAATTTCTGCCACCAGAACAACTCTGTTTGTAGGCAAGATAGGCAGTGCGTTGAGGTAAAGTTTCTCAAAAAGTTCTTACAGCTTCTACTCCGCACTCTTCTTCTTTTTTTGGCGCTGTAACCGCCTAACCGATTTTGGCCGAGTTCAGCAAAGCACGCCAGTCGTTTCTCCTCTGTGCCAACTGACGCCAATTGGAAACGCCAAGTGAAGTCAAGTCCTTCTCCACCTGATCTTTCCATCGCAGTGGGGGCCTCCCTCTTCCTCTGCTACCACCAGCGGGTTCCGAGTTGAATACTTTCAGAGCTGGAGCGTCGGTGTCCATTCGAACGACGTGACCAAGCCAGCGGAGCCGCTGTATTTTAATTCGCTGCACTATGTCCATATCGTTGTAAAGCTTATACAGCTCATCGTTCCATCGTCTGCGGTACTCGCCATCGCCAACGCGTAAAGGCCCGTAAATCTTCCGCAAAATCTTTCTCTCAAACGCTCCAAGAGCCGCCTCATCGGATGTTGTCATTGTCCATGCTTCTGCGCCATATACCAGCACGGGCATGATGAGTGACTTATAGAGCGTGGTTTTCGTACGTCGAGAGAGGACTTTACTCCTGAATTCCCTACTCAGTCAAAAGTAGTACTTGTTGGCAAGAGAGATTCTGCGTTGGATTTCAATGCTGACATTATTATCGGTGTTAATGCTGGTTCCTAAGTAAACGAAATTTTCTAATTTCTCGAAATTGTAACTGTCAACGGTGACGTGGTGCCAAGGCGAACTTTTTCCACAAAACTAGTTCCAAATACAACTTCGAATTCTTGCGTTTTCTTGGTTTTTTAATTCATGGCAGAAATGGCATCATAAAGTTTCTTCTTGTACCGCAAATTATCCTGCTTTCTGATTTCAAGCGCTTTTTAACATAGTAATTGTATTGATAACTTCTTGTACGGGAACCAAGTTATTGTTACATGCAACTTGCAATTGGACCTAGCAAGTTGCAGACCGTTTCCGAATTTTTTGATGATAATACGCGTTGTCACTTGGAGCGCGCAAGTAACATTTGTGGCCGTAGCGTTAGATTGAACGATGCAAAGCAAGGCACGGCAACTCTGCCCGGTGCATGAAACACTCTCCTCCATAGCTTGTAATCGATTATTGATAATGCTGCCACTCCGCTTCAAGACACAAAAGTGTTGGTGTCAAGAAACTATACGCGTTAGATATTTTCAGTTTCTATAATATTTTAAATTCGGGCAAAAATATTTTAATACTTTCCTCACCTCATATCATTTTACAACTGTATAAATAAAAAATGGAATTTCTTCTACTGAGATTTTTCACAGGATTGAGCTCATCGAATAATTTGGCAACGCTGGTGTAAAAGGCGTTTAGGTAGCGGGCGTCGGGATTTCATAGTTTATTAATTTTACAGCTGCTGAACAGCGTTTGCAAAAAGTGTAAAAATGAAGAAAACCAAACCGATACTTCACGACCCTTTAATAATCAATCGTGTAAAACAGGTAAATGTTTTATATGATGCGCAAATTGTCTATCTCTATTTTAACAAATAGTTGAGGTTATGTTTCTGGGGCTTCAAGCGATTGATCCCGGCAATGGAAGCCAGTGCATGTTTGTGGTCAAATTATAATAAATCGTATTTTTCTCGTTTTTACAGTATCTAGAAGAAAATGTTGATAAGAAATTTTTGGATGTAAGTGTTATGACAAGACAATTGATGGAGCGTTATCCAGAATATACGCGTCGCAAGCAAGCGCCTTTTCGGGCTCTAGTTGAGCAGGGTGAGTGCCGTTGTCACATTTCCAAAAATATGCACATGCGATCAAACACAAAAACTAGCTTATGAATTTATTTTCTGATAATTTTAGCTTACCGTGTTGTATCACAAAGCTATGGTTTGGAAAGTCAGCCGTCAAGTGCAGATGAATCGGATGGCTCTGATTTGGAAGTAATGGATGTAAGCGTTCTACAGTTCTATCAATATTATATTCAAATTCATATATTAATGATTAACTTATTTAACTTCTACTTAGGACTCTGTTTCGGGCAATTTGATGAACAATTTAATGAACAATCTGTATCAAAAACCCAAGGGGAACGCTTCAAAGCCTACAGCAGCAAAGCAATCTGCCGGCGAAGCAATTGACATTAGTAGCGATGATGACAGTGCGGATGATAATTGTACCAATGGTAAATCATCGGATGGTAGTAAGTAGCGAAAAGTAAAAATGATCATGTAGGATTTTTAATACAAATTTACTTTTTGAAACAGATGTGAATGCGTCAAGCACAGCAAAATCATTCTCCGGTGTTATTCTTACAAAAAGCAATGCGCCAGTGGAATCATCTTCTAAGGGGTCATCTACATCAGCCACTACGGAAACTACCGGTGTGTTGTCTGTAACATCTGGTGCCCAGAAGCGTCATGAATTTCCCGAGTCCACTGATCCACAACAGCAACCAAACAAAAAGCGTAAGTTGGAGTTGAATGGAGGAATATCTCCACAATATTCAAACGCCAATTTGAATATACGCTTAATATCATTAGAAAAGAACGATAGGACTGCTCTGCCATACGAACGGAGTCAAAATGATCATCAACCGCAGGGCATGCGTCAGCATTTACAGCAGCAGCAGCAGCAGCAGCAACAGAACCAGCGTTTCAGTCGCTTGACAAATTGTGCTCAAGCCAGCGATCCTGCTTCAGGCCCCTTTCCAACGTTGGGTTCAAATCAGTTGAATCAATTACGTCAACGCAAATTCAAGAAAGAGGTTGTATTACGAAAGTCACGTGAAACTTTTCAAGATATTGGTGGCATGGAGAAAACTTTGAAAGAGCTTTGTGAATTATTAATGCATATTAAATCGCCGGACATTTATTTCGTTTTGGGCCTGATGCCGCCACGTGGTTTGCTATTACATGGGCCGCCAGGGTGTGGTAAAACTTTACTTGCACATGCAATTTCTGGGGTAACTATAGGAACTTAACTTTTTTTGATTGTTGTAAGTTGGAATTAAAAAAACTTCTTTTTAGCAACTCAATTTGCCGCTTATAGAAGTCGCAGCTACAGAACTGATTGCTGGCGTATCGGGGGAGTCGGAAGAACGTATACGAGATGTTTTTGAGCAAGCAACTATTTATGCCCCTAGCGTTTTGTTTATCGACGAAATTGACGCTATTTCATCGAATCGCTCTATGGCACAAAAAGATATGGAAAGAAGAATTGTATCACAATTGATTAGCAGCTTAGATAATTTAAAGATGACAGAAGACGGGCAAAGTGTATTGGTAATAGGGGCGACTACACGACCTGATGTGCTTGATCCAGCATTACGTCGAGTTGGACGGTTCGATCATGAGGTTGCTATAGGCATTCCATCGCGTAAGGATCGCAAAGATATATTGACAATAATTTGTTATGGACTCTCGGTGGATCCAAAGTGTGACTTTGATAAAATAGCAGAGCTAACACCAGGTTATGTTGGCGCTGATCTCTTGGCACTTGTTTCACGTGCTGCAACTATAGCTGTGAAGAAAAAGTACGTAATCGAATGAATTGTTTAAATTTACATTAAAGTTAAGAGTGTTCGCTATGCAAAAAACTTGTACAAGTTGGTACCATTTGTCGTTTGGGTAAAAACCCAGTAAAACTTGCAAGAAGAGAGCACAGTTTTGACATTTAATTTGAAGGGGAAGTTGCAAATTCGTGCTGGGGAAATTTTTGCCAGCGAGAATTCACAAGCAGGATTGTGGCACACGGTTGTATTTTTCTCAACTTTAATTCGAATCAGCAAGTTCGTTAAATTTAAAAATTAACAATCTTCTTGCGATTTACTAATGAAAGTATTATGTAAATGTTTGTTGTTACAATGAATTCTAAACATTTGAGAGGTACCCGGCTGAAAAAGCTGTATTCGTAATCGGAACGCAGTGGACACCACTGTCGATATAGGCAATTATAGGAAATCCGACAGTGACTTCCACAAAAAAAATTGAAGCGTATGGTGAAGACTTATAGGTCCTGTTTTGTTTTCCACCTGAAATAATTTAAAAAATGTATTAGGTTCGAGATGCACCCGTGGACGCCAGCTGGCAGGGACGCTTACAAATGTTTGCTAATTCCTGTTCGCGCAAAACTTGTTAAGTTTCTATCTTAGGGAGAGTAAGATACCTTATTCTCTGAATTTTTTTACTGGCTAATTCTTACTGGCATTTGCATAGCGAACAGAACTATTAACATATATTTTCATCCCTCCCACTTTCGCACTTAAGTAAATCCTAATTTAAAGTTATTATTACTGTTATTTACACTGATTGAAATTTTTTACAGATGTGCTGAGTGTATTCGCGCATTCCAGTTAGAATCGCAACGCAACATTACCATCGTCGATTTGGACGATGAGGCCGACGAAAGCGCAGACGTCAGCAGCAAACAAGCAGATCAAAGCAAATCTGGCAAAGATGAAGTCTCAAATGAAACCAATTCCAAATCAAAAGAAGAAACAGTAAATGAAGAGCAATCAAAGGACAAGAACAGCGATGCAAAAGAGGCAGATGCTGACGCTGAGAAAAAAACGGAAAGTAATACCAATGGATCGGCAAAGGAAACGTCATCAAATCCAGATAAAAAAGACACAGAAGCAATGGATGTTGATGATGAAGACCAAGAGTCCACTAAAGGCGAAGAAAATACAAACAATACCACAAAAGTACAAGTGGCTGACAGTAGCGAAAAACCCACTGAAGAGGTTTCTACCAACGAGCAGAGTAAATCAAATGAATCCACAAATTCGACATCGAAGTTAGAAACTATAGCCGACACACAGAATTCTTCAGAACCATCACTTTTAGAACTCTTAAATTGGCTGGATAATCCACCTTCGGATTTGTCATACGCTACCGAATTCTGCATAACAGTGGATGATTTCTTAGAAGCAGTGAAAGTTGTACAACCGTCATCGAAACGTGAAGGCTTTATAACAGTGCCTGATGTAACGTGGGCCGATGTCGGTTCATTACATGATATACGTGAAGAGTTGCAATTGGCAGTGCTGGCACCAGTCAAATTTCCCGAGAAGTTAATTACATTAGGTTTGACGGCGCCTTCCGGTGTGTTGCTGTGTGGCCCGCCAGGTTGTGGTAAAACTTTACTTGCCAAAGCTATAGCCAACGAGGCAGGCATCAATTTTATATCAGTTAAGGGACCGGAGTTAATGAATATGGTAAGTACACTCCCCCCCTGAGAGTCAAATAAACCATAATCTATATATTCCTCTTGGTAGTATGTGGGTGAAAGCGAGCGTGCAGTGCGCGCGTGTTTCCAACGGGCACGTAACTCGGCGCCATGTGTAATTTTCTTTGATGAGTTTGATTCTTTGTGTCCGAAGCGATCGGATAATAATGAAGGTGGTTCGGGAACGCGTGTTGTCAATCAATTACTTACAGAAATGGATGGTGTTGAAGAACGTAAAGGAGTCTACATTTTGGCAGCAAGTAATCGGCCAGACATAATAGATCCAGCTATACTACGTCCCGGACGTTTGGATACTATACTCTATGTAGGGCTGCCGCAGAAAGAAGAGCGCGAGGAAATACTAAAAGCTACAACAAAGGTGAGAATCAAAAAAAATAAAAAACAAAAAAATTATAAATAAAATATTATTTTTTTTGAGCTAAAAAAAATTACATAATCTTCAATTAACAGACAAATACAAAAAAAATAAAATAACTTAAAAAAATATAAAAAATTAATAAATTTTAAATTAATAAAAAAAAAGAAATGAGAAACTAAAAGCAAATAAAAAATAAGAAACAAAAAATAACGTAAAATAAACTAGAAAAAAATTAAAAATCTAAATATGAAAGTTAAATAAAAAACAAAAATTAAAATGCGGTTCAAAAGCAAATAATAAAAAAGTAAATTACAAAGTTAAATAAAATAAGAGAACTTTAATAAGACATTGAAAAAGACTTGAAATAATAAGATTAAATAGAAAAACAAGTAATAAATAAAATATGTATAAGTAATAATAAAAACATGAATTCAAAAATTAAAACAACAGGAATAAACAAAAAATAAAAAAAAATATAAACAAAAAAAAATATAAAAAGTAGAAAAAATGAAGTACTTGTCCGGCTCAAGTTTGATAATGATTTTCTCATTGACACAATTATTTCATTCTTACATATTTTGAATAGAATCGTACACGACCTGAATTAGCTGATGATGTAGACTTTGCTGAACTAGCCGAAAACTCTGATGGTTATACCGGTGCTGATTTGGCTGGCCTAGTGCGGCAAGCAGCAATGTTGGCCCTGAAAGAGTCTATACAAAATCCGGATTCTACAGATTTACGTGTACGAAAGGAACATTTTGATCAAGCGCTGAAACTATTGCGACCTTCAGTTACTCCACAGGTTAGTTAATACACATAGTACCTACTTTCAGTAAGTTAAAAAAAAAAAATATATGAATAACTTCATTTGTTTCAGGATCGCAAAAATTACGAAAAATTGCGTTTAAAGTACGCTGCACCGAGAATCCCCACAACTGCGACAGATAATGCAGAATAAATATTTTAGAAATGAATATAAAAAAAAAAAGTTCGCGATAGTTTACGATTAAAAAAGGATAATTGTTGTAGCTCATCGCATCAGCAACTACAAAATATGCGTTTTTAATACATAAAAATACATTACTCAATCCGATTGGCGTTACTATCCTTGTTCCGGCATCTCATCCATGTACAAGTTCTAGCTTAGTTTTCAGCAAGTGTTTAGAGTATGACTTGAATTTAATTTTCCGTTAACAATTCACGCTGTGAATTAAATTTCGTTATATGTATTTTGTAAATCATAAAAACATTCACTTATGGATTATAAATAAAGCGAAATGTGCATGTCTAAAGGTATGCAACAGATGAATTGTGCGCAAGAAGAATTTATTTAATCTTCGAAAATATTGCAAATGCTTACCTCACTTTTTAAATTTTGGATTTCATTACCTTTTAGAATTGCGCATATGTACGCTCATGCATCTCTTAATTTATACAAAAAAAAAGTAAAAATACTAAACGAAAAGAAATTAACTCTTAACACACATATTCATATACATACATATTAGTAAATAAAACAAAACACTCTTGTCTTTGGTACATCAGAATATTGCTTATTTCACTGAAATACAAAATATGCAATAAATTTTACAATTTATAAACGATTTATTCAACACTTGACAGGCACTTGTGTATTTTTTAAGACATCATTATTGATGAGGGGCAGAGCTGCATCGTAGAATGGCTGCTTATCAATTGTCGATGTCGGATGCTGCTTAGTAATTTTCATGTTTGCCCGTTGCAGCTGTGCCGTTTGGTCTTTAGTGGTCGCTGTATTGGACAACAGCGTTTCTGCTGGATATAAACATGGTGGCACTAGATCGTAAGCCACTTTACACATCTCCCGTATGCCGAGCCAACTTTCATGCCCAATGGGACTGATCGACTCCGCTGGCGGCTGGAAGCCCAAAGTATGTGATGGCAGTTCCATAACTAAAGCTAATGGTACTTGTATTACTCCGAAAGCATAGTCAACAATTGAGCCCGATATACGACGTTTGCTTAATCTAAGAAATATGAGAATACATATTGCAAAAGATTAAATGTGCATTCTTTTTTATTTTAATTTCAAACTTTCACATCTACGAACATGGCTATGCTTCCGACACGATAGTGGCGTCCGTTGTAGGCTTTAATGGCGTTGCGGCCGGTTAATGCCAACTTTTCCAATTTCTGCCATGTCTCAGGAAGCTCTCTGGAATGGTATTTAAAAGAGAACGGTATTTAATTTATATATGGTATTGTATCGCACGTTTGATAATATACAGAAGTATTTCAAAATTTAAATTTTGTAGGAAAACGCAATCAAAGTTTGTCAAAGTTAGATCAGTTCATACAATTGGAATACCAAAAGACTGATGGAAATATGCATATTCTTTTTATCAAGCTTATTGTATGTTGAAATTTCCAAAAAAAACGTAGATTTTGAATTACATGAACGGAAATATTGGCCCCTATTATGAGTTGCATTCGATTTTCGACTGTGGTCGAAAGTGCTCAGCGAACGAATTTTCATTTGGTATTATGGCGCTCATTCGATGAAGAATAGCGCTATTGTGAATTTCGCTCGTTTAGGTTGTTCACAATAGTATATTTTTCACCGCTGAGAAGCTTTGTTTACAAATCGAGCAAACTAAATAGTGTGCTTATACATATTTATGTAAATTTGTTCTAATTAAAATGAAGTAAAAAAGAAAGCAAGTTTATAAAAACGTGGTAAAATGAGCACAACGAGTCCTGGTTCAACGATTCGTCAGAGGATGAAAGCTTAGTAAACTGGCCAGAAGTAGCAAATGTTTAAGAGAGTTTAAGTTTATTAGTCTTTCGAATATATTTTTATATAAAATATATTTAAGAAATTTGTCTACAGATTCATTAAAAAGTTCCGACCATCTAAAGAGGCGTTTGTGAGCCAAATCTATTTAAAATATTTTAAAACTATCAACAGCGCTACGATTTTGTTCTCAGAGATCGTGCCAACAGAGTATTGGGATTTTCTTTCACAAGTAAATCCAGCCTTTCGAGCTTGTGTTTAGTATTCACGATGTTAGAACTGCATGAAATTAACAAAAATTGTTTAAAATTAGTATCTAGCCGCCAAAATTTAAGAAAACATATACAAAATCATACATTTTTCACAATTTTCTAACACTTCGCTACACCATCGAAAGCAAAATTCTGTTCGACAGAAAATTCGATACTCAACGAAAATTTCGACACGCTTGCATAGCTCATAATACGAATTTCACTTTCGAGCTTCGATCTTCGATAGCCAGCGAAGATCGAAAATCGAATGCAGCTCATAATAAGGGCCATTAGCTCTGATCCAGTACTCCATGAACTTACAGGATTTTACACGAACTTACAGGAAGTTGCAGGAAAAATGTTCCCGTACTCCAAAATCCTGTAATTGAGAGCGACTTTTGGAGAGTTGTGTACAGATTGAAGTTGCAAGAAATTACCCGAACTTTTTCTTCTGGTAAAATCATGAAAAGTGTCAAGCAATCACTGGTTGACGTTTTTACAGGAAAAATGGTTTTTTGTTCCCGTACTTTTTGTTGTTACTCACTTTTTACTCTCACTTCAGAGAGTAATTTTGCTGTTTGACAGTTTTACAGGTTTTTTCACGAAAAGTATTGGATCAAAGCTATTAAATATCACCCGATCATGAAACCATTTTTGATGACTTCCAGAAAATAAGTATATGAATCGAGATTCCTAAAACAATCAAATATTAATAATAATAGATTGGCGCTTACACATATCGAGCCCTAAACGCCAAAATAACGTGAGCGACGTTTTTTTTTATACCCGAGCGCACTTGTGCACAAGGGTATATTCATTTTGTTCACATAACAGTTGTTTGTAACAGCCAAAACGAATCGAGATAGATATAGACAAATGTATACATAAATGCTCAGAATAAATAGAGAAATCGATTAAGCCATGTCTGTCTGTCCGTCCGTCTGTCCGTCTGTCCGTCCGCCCGTGTACACGATAACTCGAGCAAAAATTGAGATATCTTAACGAAATTTGGTATGTAGGTTTCCGTTAACCCAAGGTAGGTTGGTATTGGGCGAAATCGGACTGTAACCACGCCCACTTCCCATATAACGGTAATTTTCAGAAATACGAAAACTGCGATATTTTAGTAATAAGATTATAAATTTTTCGAAAATGGGCGTAGCCACGCCCACTTATGGTTACATATGTATATCTTGGTAACCGCTGCACCAATTACTTCCAAACTTGGCACAGTTGTTGGCCTTGGTGCAGCATAATAAATGGCCGAAAATTTGAAAAATCGGACAATAACCACGCCCACATCCCATATAACGGTAATTTAAAGAAATACAAAATCTTCGATAAATCAGTAAATATTAAAGCTAATTTATGCAAAATTGATGCTTGCAACAATTCTTTACCAAGAAATACGTTTATGAAAAAATTTTGGAAAATGGGCGTGGCACCGCCCACTTATGATCACATATATTTATATCGGTAACCGTTCTACCAAATTGTACCAAACTCGGTATTTTTATTGTGCTTGCCACATAAAAGCAAAACGTTGAAAATTATTGAAATCGGACTAAAATTACGGCCGCTTTTCATATAACGGTAAATTTCAGAAATGCTTGAAACTTCAAAAATTCGAAATTTAAGGACGCTAATTTACTCAAAATTGATACACCCCGGCTTACCATCTAGCGGCAGCTTTCGGAAAGGTGAAAAAACATATATTTAATACTTGCGCCGGGTATTTAATGTTCGGATCCGCCCGAACTTAGACTTTCTTACTTGTTAATTTTATTTTTGATGCAGAAATGCATCTAGTGCCATAGGAATATTTCTGCATAAAAAAATTTCAAAAATTTTTAAAGAAAATGTCGTTTACATTTGTGGCATGCGCCTTGATGTAGCAAAGCTTCAATTACAAACGTGTATGTACGCTTTTAATCTTCGTATTCGTGCTCGTATAAGTCATCCTCTTTTTTTTCGTTTTGGACTTCGTATTCATCTTTGTCGTGGCCTCGTCTTCATACCGCCAGCTGATTGGAAGATCGCCTTATTTCAGCTGCCGGTTCGAAAACGCGCTATCTCAGCAAACGGTTGAAGAACGGCCTATCTTAGAATTCGTTTCAAAAACGCCCCATCTCAATATAAATTCAATATATCGGCAGCTGAGATAGGGCATTTTCGAATATCCAGCTGAGATAGGTCGATCTTCCACTCAGCGGTCGATATACTATGTTCTAAGTGCTTTCAATGCTATTTTGAAAGAAACTTGTATCATCAAAGTTAACGAGCTGAGCGTGTAAAACAATGCTACATACTACTCATACTCGGAGAACACTTTTAAGTACTAAATACTAGACTCCCTCTCACCGCACTTTAAACGCATGAACTCACTTGCAATATGCCCACGGGTACATAATACACTCGGCATACGAGTGCAATGACAGAAAGAATAATAAATGCTGCTTATTCTTTTGCAAAATATTGCGAATTGCTCGCGTTTCCGGTTCAGAAAAAGGTTTCACACCTTTATAGGTATTGCGTGTGACTTTCGACGGACCATCTTCCCAGTGAAAATCATAATTACGATTACAATCGGTACCGATGTGACGAGTATGACTGATTGGTCGACGATTTTTGCGCCAACGACGATTCTTTGTGAAAGTGTACTCGTAGCCATCGGGATTCGTGACGGGCACAATGATGAAGCGCAACTTACGCAACAACTCGTAGTTGCGTATATGCTTTTCGGTTAGCTGATAGATGCAGTTCAGCGCCACAGCGATGGTGATCCATTCGCGTGCATGGGTGCCACCTTCGATGAAGATCATATTACGACTATGGAATGTACTCTGAACTCGGTTAGTTGACGGAGGCGGCGGCGGCGGCGCGGTGCCTGTTTTATCCATATAAGTTCGTCGTGTACGGTGTCGTTCGATGCGATCCATATTCTTTTCGCTATTCCAATCGATTTCGATAGCTTTCAGCGCGCGACGTTCGTATGACTGACCAAGCGTATGCACCGTGACAAAGCTGTAGCGGTTCTGCAGATATTCCAAGTAGAGATTGATCTCATCGTGACGCAAGTAACCGTGCAGCACGTCGGGGCGTGGCACAACAAGTTTCCTGAATTTCGATAGAGAAACCGTCTTTTTGGCGCGCTTTTTGGTAGCGTGCTTCTTCAATTTGTGCGGCATTTCACTATTTAATTATATAACTCAAAAGAGCGTCGTGGGATTTTCACTTAAAGTGTTGCAAAGATTTTTAATTTTTTAATGACATTTATTAACATTTAATTTTATAAAATTACTCGTTTAATCAGAATACAAGTTTAAAATTTTGAGACTTAAAATTTAATTATTATTTTTTTTTTTTAAACTTTCACCAGAATTTGAACGAAGGAAATTACAAATGTAAAAAGAAAACTCTCTGTTGTTAATGTCAGCCCGATTTTCGAAAATGGATTTTGTAAAGAGTTTCCAAGTCCTTCGTATGCCGCGTTTTGTTAAACTCTACCGCCTGTTAGCTGTGCGCCGAATGGTGAACGGAATGAGCATTCTTTGTATGAGTAGCATACATTGGAGCTATTTTGCAAACAGCAAAACGAACTGTTAAACTTATGCTTCTTACGTATATATGTATATATGTACATTAGACCGTACCAGAAAAAAAGTTCTCGGTACACCCCTAATTCAAATGTATTTTTGCAGGGCAATTTCGATAAAATTTTTTCCCCCCCGAACGTACTGGTCGGCTTTTCACCTTTTTTCATATCATATCTCCACCATTTACAGTCGGATTTTAAAGTTTAATAAATCGCTGTTCTTGTCCTGAGAAAATTCTTTTTTGTTCGAAAGTTCATTGACCACAAGTACCCCATTCTAGTACTTACCCACCAGATCTCAGTTCCTACCACCTTAATGCCAGTAAATTAAAGCTCCCTAAAAATCATTAAACCCTTGATAAGAAAATTTCTTGATTATTTCAGCAAAACTACCAAACAAAATTTTTTTTCCGAATTGTAGGTTTCACCGAAAAAATGTAAAAAGGTTCAGCCAAAATCTTTTTTTTCGAAATTGCCTTGAAAAAAAATACTTTCGACTCAGCGTTGTACGGCGAACTTTTTTGTTTGCCTGTCAGTTGTTACGGCCTAATGTAAATCCATGCACGTAAGTATCATTACGTATACGTAAATTGATACATGAAAGTATGTATGCGACTGGATGTGACATCAAAGAGCCCTCATTCCACTTGCGATAGCGGTAATTTTATTACCCAGCTGGAAATTTGAAAAAACGTTGCCATTTTTAAAAGCAAAACAATAATAGAGTTAACTGAGAAATGAAGGAATGACGCTTTAATATCTAGAACGATCACAAGTACTCGCAATGATAAAAGTATTCGCATTCCTATTCGTATTTGCATTCGTATTTGTATCAGTGTTGCCGCATCAAATACATTTTTTCTAACAAAATGTTCACATAAAATCCACCAAAAGTTCTAAACCATTTCAACAGTTTGAACAAAGCCGATTTTCAAAGAAAAATCACCAAATTTTGAAATTCTTTCTTAAGAAAAGCAATTTCAAAATTTATGTGTCTGAATAAAAAACCGACACTCTTTGCTTCATATCAATGGTACCAGTATATTTCATTTATCTTTTTCTGTAAATACGAAAGATATTTATTTTTGCAAATTTTCACTTGAATTTGAGTTTTTAAGCTGCTGCACCTTCTTAAAAATTGTTTCCAACCTACTAGAGAAAATGGCCAACCAATTTTAAAAATATTTTCGAGATAAAGCCTTCTCAATGAATTTTTGTTTTACTTGACATCATTTTTTAATGTTTAATTTTACTTATCGATTAAACTTAATTTTCATTTTTAACAGGCGGCAACCCTTCTTAAAAACATCTTCGAAACAAAGCTTTCTAATATCTCTTTCGATTGACCCTAATATTCTAATACTTTACTTAACTTATGAAAAAATTAAATTTGACTTTTGAAAAGGTGGCAACCCCCTTCAAAACATTTAAAAAAAAAAATTTTTTTCTCTTGCGTTGCCACCCATATTGTAATAATTCATTAAACATATTAATAAAATTTAATTTAATTTTTTCAGTAGGTGGCAATCCTGTTAAAATGTTTTCGTAACAAAGCTTTTTTAAATCTTATTCGTGTGTCACTTATATTGTAAAATTTCGATGAACCTATTGTTTAACGTAGAATCTAAGTTTTTAAGCAGGTGTCATCCTTTTTCAAAAAATATTCCACATTTTAATCCGGATATGATCTACATATCTATACAAAGAAAGACCAACAAACAGACAAATTTTCTTATATAATAACTTGTAAACTAAATTACTAAACTGGTGGCAACCCTGGTAAAAACATTTTCCAAAAAGATAAAGATTGAAAATACTTTATTTAACTTGTTAATTAAATTCATTTTGAGTTTCTAAAGGGGTGGCAGCTCTTTTTAAGAATATTTTTGATACCCATATTGAACTATTTCCTTTAACATGTTAATTAAATTGATATTAACGTTTTGAACATGTGGCAACCCTCTAGACAATTTTTTCGAAATAATTGTTTAGTTACAAAGTTACGATTTTTTATTTAACTTATTAATTAATCGATTTTAATTTTTTTCATAGGTGGCAGCCCCTTTAAAAATATTTTTGAAATAAATCGTTTAGGAAACCCTTTTGTTTGACATGTAGAGTAGAATCGTCGCTCAACAGTCGAATGCAATTTTTTTATTTACATGGATGCCGTACAAAATTTAATTATTCTTGAAATATAAGCAATAAATCAAAAATTCCAATATAGTGGCCTAAGTTTTTCTTACAGGGACACGCCATTTCACCCACCTACAGCAAATCAGCTTAAATACATATCGTTAAAGTTTCTTTTTTGGCTGTGTTAAATACTCGCAGGATTTAGCGGCAGCTCTGCCGGAAGTTCTCATTGGCCTAAATTGGTACAACTTCTTATTAGTTGGGTATGGTCGCTAAACACGAGACCGGCCAACTACCTTTTCATATTTCCAACGTATTTTACATACATATGTACAATTATAATATTTTCATACAAACTATGCAGATTATGTATCTATGTATGTACATTAGACCGTACCACTTTACAAACAAATAAAAAAAGGGTTCGCCGTGCACTCTTGAGTAGTCTAAAGTATTTTTGTAAGGCAATTTTGAACAATTTTTTTGTTCGGTGACATTTACATTAGGCCATAAATATTTTTTTAATTGATTCTAATGAAATAATCGAAATACTTCGTTAACAAAAGTTTAACGATTTTTAGTGAGCTTTAATTTACTGATATTAGGGTAGTACCTTATCGTGAATGTGAAATGGCGACACCTACGTTAAAAAAAAATGGAATTGCCCTCGAAAAGAAATACTACCTTAACAAAAGTTTAATGGTTTTAGATGTTATTTTTTCGCTCAAAAATAATAATTGTTATTGAGTTTTATTTTTTCACTTAAGAATAATGATTATTCAATAAACTCAAAAGCTATACCGCCATTATTTCTGACGAATCCTTTTCATAGGTAGCGACATCCTAATAAAAGGAATAAGTCCCAAAATTTTCAGGTCAAAATTTCAGTTGGTTGCGCCTTTTACATTTTGTAGATAATAATTTTTTTTAAGTGGAAACTTAAAACTCGACAATATCTAATTATTATCGCTGAGTGAAAAAAATAAAAATCAACTGATAGTTTTTTTTGTTGAGCGAAAAAATAAAACTCAATAAAAATATTTTTTTTAAGCCAAAAAAATAAAAATCATAAAATAAAGATTACATGCTGATTTACATTATTTTACTTCTAATGATTACCGTCCCAAATTGCCTTGCAAAATTACTTTTAACTCAGGGGTATACGGATAACTTTTTTTGTTTGCTTGTAAGGGGGTATGGTCTAATGTACATTATGTATGCATATAAACATTTACGATTACATGTATATATGCAAATGTAATTCTTCGCTTCTTTTCCTTGCCAGCTGTTATGCTGTGCATTTTGGCCGCCAAAGTTTTCTGCACGTGCACATTTTATTGTAAATATGTAAATTAGTAAATAAAAAAAAAAATGCGGCAGTCAGCTGGCTGTTGCTCTAAGGTATTCCTTATGAAGGAAAACTAAACACTGAAGTTTACTGAGTCGCTTCCAGTAATCCTTGGAACTTATTCCAACTACTTATTATAGAAAATAAACAAAATTGTATCCAACATTTACATATGTAAACATACTTATGTATGTATGTAGACGCACGAACAATCCATATATCCATATTTATTATAACTATAGTATATGTATGTATGCATGTATATACTAGAGTGGTCCTTAAATGTAGGAAGCAAATTTTTACATCAGATTTCCTAAACCTCAACTCCTACGTCGATGCTACTATAGTCGAAGATTGATTGATTTTAAGAACCACCCTAGTATATACGTATGTATGTACATAGTATTCGCAGACACTTTGCCAAAACCAGCTTAATTTCTAACCAGTTGATTTGCAATTTAGCATTTTCCTGACGTCTCTCCTTTTTTGTGGTTTTTTTTT